TTCTTCTGTGAGGGTTTTTTCTCTGCAGCGCTGGCAGTTCCGGAGGAATGACTCTGTTTTCTTCATACCCGGTTATCCATCCCAAAGAAGTCAGTAAAACACAGTGGTCTTCGTTTCCGCCACCTCCTGTTCCAACTCCCGCCGGCTCTGAACACACACACAATCCATAATCGCCCTTCGTAGCCGAGTATCTAGCTCCTGGCCTCGCTGTGTTCGGACCAACGATATCGCAGCACTCTGCTCTGCGGCCGCTGGGCCACTCCCCCCGAACAGACGCAGCATTCGAGCTTACTCTAGTTACATAGGTACCATACATAGTTAGTTAGTTAGCACAGTACATATGGCTGGAACTGGGCCCAAGTTCGAAGCCATGGCATGGCATGGCTAGACATGGCCACCTCGACCGAATTCCGGCCCAGCTGCTGCAGGACGACGCAATGGGGAATGATTTATCAAATGGTGCAATAAGCATCAGTTATAGTTAAGGATAAGTTTTCTAGTCGAATGTGGGTTCCTCCTCGGCTCCCAACCCCACAAGAATAGCAATTCATGTAGTTAGGCATTTTTGTAGAGAAGAGGGACGGGGGTTTGGATTGGTAGGGGATCGGCGGCAGCTCAATCGATAATGGGAGTAGCGGGTGTTTTGGATATGGATGGGGAAGACTTGACACAGCACTTGATGCTAGTAGTGTGTTTTTCTTTAATCCTTCCCATACATGTCGTACGTGGACGGATATACCAATCAAGTCAAGTCAGGGTTTTGACGGATACAGACAGGGAGGACTCGAGGATGTCTATTTTATTTCATTTGCTCCCGCTCTCTGGTGTATCTCTTCAGCCGAAATGATGTGTTCCTTCCTGCAGTTACGGTGAGAGGAGGGGAGGGAGGACTATTTACAGACCGCAAACTTCCCCGCGATGACTTGATGGTTTCTATGCATTCGCTGCAGCTTTGGGCGGTGAAATCTGGAAGCATCACAGAGACAGACAAAAGGTTAAAAAAGGGAAATAAACTAGAAATGCACATAAGTTAACGGAGTATATCATAAATTCCAAAAAAAAAAAAAAAAAGGAACTTTAAACTCTCCGTAGTCCCTCCCATCCCGTCGTCCCTGGCCTGGTTGATTTCCTCCCATGGAAGTTTAAGATGTAAGGTAACTTAGTAAGGGGCTCAAAAACGCCTTGTCTATTCTTTCGCCTTAGGAGGTCTTGATTTTGCCTTCTTCACAAGTTTTGTCGGAGTCATTGGGGAAATGAATAGTCAACTAGTTACTGGTACTGCATGGCTTTGACGAAGCTGGGATTGCAGGGAGCCCAGCATCTCTCGCACCTCTTGCCTCCTCGTCTGATAAATACAGCTATAGTATAGGAAATGGAGGGACAACAAGAAAGATAATTTCGTTTGAGCTAAATACGACGGCAGGAACTTCATCCAGTAAGTAACTCATCCCGTGAAATGTTCGTAGGCGGGGGTCTCGAGCCCTCAGCTGTTCCTCCATTCCATCGTCTGGGACTCCTCTGTTTCGGCGATATGCTGTTGGCCACTTGGTTGGCTGTGGATGTGCTGTCAGATTGAATGGTTCCCTGGATGGACAGCGCATCAATCCCGTCAGGTTGACTAAATGCGCCATGTACTGTACATGTCCAGTTCTTCCATAGACTGCGTGCGACGAGCGCTCCAAGCTCGACACCATCTGGGGCCCCCAGCGTGTGCGTGAATGGTAATGTTTGATGTTGATTCTGATAATAATAAGAGCCGTCGATGTGCAGGATCTCGAGAGAATAATAAATACCCTGGAGCACGAGACAAGCACCTCGTCCGAACATCGACCATCCCCAAAACAACTCCTTGAACCCAGTGGTGGCGGGGGATGTTCGTTCGCTCGGCCCCTAAGCCGCAACCCCAGCGCCAAGTCAGTCAGTCAGTCGAACAACTCATCGACCATCGACCATCGACCATCAACCATCAACAACCGCCGCCTGCTTCTCCTCTCTTGTTTTATATCCCCCCCTCATCCTTCTCGTCCTCTGTGCAGGCGAGCTTGATTCTCATACCCTTGGGCGCCTTGTGCGCTGCTTTGCCTTGTCCGTGTTGTTGTTGCACCGCTGCTGCTGCTGCTGCTCTCTCTCCCCCTTGCTGGGCTGTTGTTTAGTTACCCCACGTTTTGGCCCCTAATAAGGGCTATCATCATCAGCATCAGCATCAGCATCATCACCGTAATTAACAATCCTGTTCTCTCTCACTCTCCGCCCATATATTCACCACAGGCCCCGGCACCGTTGATAGAGCCTAGCATACAATTCTGCCCACCACCCTGAATTATAATATATATATATATATATATCTTATCCTGCCCCTGGATTTCTCTGGTCCCATTCCGGCCTCATCGACGTGTGCTAATCCTTGTCCCTTGCCCTTCCTCTCTCATCACGCTCCTTTTATCTCTCGGGAAGAAAAACACCGGTCGCGATTCTTGTCCGTTTTACATGGCCTACAGAGGAACCATGCGATAGATATATATCTCTTTATTATCACACGTCCGTTTACTTGGCATTTAAGATTCTCGAGGTTGTCCCCCGTCTCGAGATCGATGCCCCCAGATTGCCCATGGAAAGATGATCAGTATCCAACATGCCTGTCTTCCATCGGTTCTGGCCTACGCGACAGCCACAAGTAAGCTTCTTCCTTTCTAATTTCTCCCTTCTCTCCCCGTCTTTCTCTCCCTCGTTTCTGAAATGATTAGCTAGTTGCTAGAGACTGACATCCTACTCGCAATGTCTTGGCTTTTTCCAGCTTTACCCCCTTCTCCAGTCGAGTCTCCGTCAAAATGCAACTCTCCATCTATGTGCAGAGCAGATCCGGATCCGGATCCGTCTAAATCCCCTGCCATGTCTTCAGTAGTGTCTACTCCCCAAGGCAAAGGTTCCCCCAGCTCTCATTCCACAGGTCACCTGCCGCTCAAAAACCATGGGTTTCCGCCTAAGCTTGATGCCCAACTGCCAAATCCCGAAGCTTCTCCCTCATCGGCTATTCAGGAGACTCAGCCTCATATACCCCAGGATGTCCTGGAAATTGCAAAGAAGCCAGTGACGTCGCCTGAGCCAGTTGCTGGAATCCCGTTTTCACAATTTGTTGCCCAGTTCCATCTTAAACAACATCAAGAAGCCCAGAAGCGCAGCCTCTTGCAACGGCTACGTCATTTTCGCGTCTCCATTTGTCTTTCTACTCGGTTGCTCAGGCTTGGAGCAATCTCTCAAAAAGGGTTAGTTGAAAGTTTTAAGCTGGGCGATAAGGCTAGTTTTATTTCGATTTATAATAACATCCATGATGTCCGTGAGGCATGTGAGCCCTCCACGCATGGTATCAACAATCCTTCAGTCCTGGGTCACGATTCTCTCCTCGGATTCTCTGGTACTTCCGCTTCTGATTCGGAAATCCGCCGCCCCTATAGTTTTGTGCACCAACTTACTCCAACCTCCAGGGAATGTCTACTGGAAATTCTGAGTTTGGTCCGCACGGATCCTCAATTCCTTTTTGAGCGCATTGGTAACTTACTTCCTTCTCAGCTCTCTGCGCTCGTCCCCTCTGTCCACACACTTGAAGTCAGTGATTCCGTTTTCCCTCTCGCGTCTCGCGGAAGAACAACGCAGCCGCTATTCTCCAAACGTACGACTGCACATGCCACTGCTTTCAAAGAGCATGTTTTGGGTTTCGAGAGGACCGATCCTCTCTCTGCTTTGATTTTTAATGTTTTTGCTTCTTTTGGGAGTACCGACTCCCGCGAGGCCCAGTTACGTTTGGATGTGTGGTCTTCCACCTGTGCAAAATTGGTATCCTATGGTGGAAGCAGTCATTATTCTCTAGTTGGCTACCTTCTGTCCGCCTGGTCTACCTCCACCGAATGGAAGGCTACACCCAAATTTGAGATCTATTTAATGGATGTTCTCCAGAAAGGTGCTTTCCTCCTGCAACACCCAGAAACCCCACGACGACTTGGCCACGATGGCGAACTCCCTGATCCTCTGCGAACTAGTGTTGCCGAGGAGTTTTTCCAATCTGCCGTTCGGGACCTATTTGAAGTCCTAGATGACTCGGATGGAGGTTTTCCACGTGGTGCTTTGGAGTTCGGGAATGCTGTTCTTTCTAAGCTTGGAATGACTGAGAGCCGAAAACGAGCTGTGGAGTATATAATTTTCCAGTGGTTCTTTTGTAAATTCATGCATAATGTGCTTTTATTCCCGGAGGTTCGTTTATACCCCTTATTTTCTATCCTACTGTTGATCCATAATTTCATTTTTTTTTTTTTTTTTTTTGATATCGCTCTTTTGAGGTGTACATTTCCAGCTTACGTTTCCCGGCTTAGTCTATTGGTTTGTTACTCGATTTCCATATTTCTAAGGATGCACGAGAGAGGCTGCTTGGTCAAATTTCACTCCGAGCTCAGTCACAAGTATCTCGATAGTTACACACCCTGTAAGTTCCCGCCTGTCTCCCTAGCATGTCCAATCCCTAAAATTATTATCCACATATTAACGTTATTATAGGCCTCAACTTTCATACTTTGACGCTAAAATTAGAATCCATATTGACAATATGCTTTCCCACCTTTGTAATCCGATTTCATCGTCCCAGGTTACCATCAACCCGCCCGTTGCGCAGCCAGCTACGAAACAAAACTTACCCGAACGGTTCCTACTTTTGTCTCCAACGGATATCATGACTATTTTGGATGTTCTTTTCCCTAAGGCCCCCCCTACCTTTTTCAACTCTTCAGACTCATTCAATCATCACAATCACTCCGTTCTGTCTTCTCCTAATAATTCTTTCTTTCCACAAAATGACGCCCCTGGCCGATGTTTTGAACCAAATCTTTTCCAGGGAAGGATTGATACTCTTTCTTCTCGCTCATCCACCGCAAAGACTGTGTTCACCACTGAAATGAGTTTCCAGGATGCAACCAGGTCGTACGCAGTGCCGGGCACTAAGCCAGTAAGCCCGGTATCTCCACAAAACTCCCTTACCAGAAATGCAGATCGCATTCGGTATGAGCTATCTGAGATCAACGAGTCGGAGGATCGCCCCACAATGGGTCGCCCATCGAGCGAGGACTGGGCATTGATCTCTGTTTCAAACGACGGGAGAACCGTTGCATTGATGCCTTCTCTGGATCAGGAGTTGGAGTCTGGAAGGTCATTCTCTAATGATGACCCAGATAGCCGTCCTGCGTCATCACTGGTAGACGACGATCGGGAGATGTTACAAAATGCCATCGTCAAGCTAATAGACGATTTCGATCATTTGGAGGACTTTTGCCACTATGATCCGATCACTTCTGCTACTCCCGGAACAAGTGAACCCTCCCTTAAGCAGAAATTTGCTAGCGCCATGAACTATAGTCAATCCCAGGCTGACTTCGTTGGCGCCCACTACTGGTGGAATGCATCCCGACTTCTTCAAAAGGTTTACCCAAATTTTTGGGTCACCGGCGATCACTCGAAGCTCTTGATGCCTCTGTTTTCATCGTCGAGGAAATCAATCGAGACGTCTACTGCCATCATTGAGCAGTGTGAGAGTAGGATAATGGATCTTAAGCGAGCAATGACACGGCTTCGATCTCTGACAGTAGAGATGATGACGAGTTTAACGAAGCTGAGGAATAAGATGTGGTATATGAACGATGTCAAAAACTCACTGAGGTATGAGGAAGCAAGAAGTGTTGCTCTCGCGTTACAAACGATGGCTGGGCCAGCATCGATATCGCCGATTCCTGAACCCAAACCTCGCTATGGCTCAAGAACGCTTGGCGCATCATTCCTTCAAAAGCCAGAAATCCAAACTATGAATGCGATGAAAGCGCCTGTAAGCCAAGGTGGCCGATCTAAATTGTCCGATGAACAAGTTGACATGACTAGCAAATGGCTGCAGCGTTCTGGCATTGATAACTTCTGCAAGGGAGAGGAGCGAATTCACCGGTTTTGCTTGGAGATAAAAGCGGCGGTTGGGAAACTGGTTGGGGAGACAATGTACGAAACTCCAGTTTTGTGGTCTAGTGAGCTCTATCAAAAGGAACGCACCATCTACGATGCATCTGGCGGGCGACCTAGCACTGGGCTTGGCGCGTCGTCGAGTCTTCGACCGTCAAGCATTGCGAGTGAAGAGTCGTTATACCAGGCGCCATCTAGTGTGGGTGTGGGTCTTAGGACGTTTGACCATAATTTCCGTTCTTTAAACGAAGCGCCATCAATAGTGCGCAAATCGTCATTCCAAAGCCTTGCATCAGAGAGATGGAGATCGAGCAGGGATGCCACCTGCGGCGATACTTCCTCTATCGGTGACTCACCTGGTAGAGCTATATCGACATCCGCCAGTGACTCCACGTTCTGGTCTCCAATGCACACACAAGCGCAGTCCACAACGAGCGCTTCGAGCCTCCACTCTCGGCCGCCTTCGATGTTTAGCGATGTCTTGACATCGAGGAGACCTGAGCGGAATGCTCAGGGCAAAGTTGCGTTTTTAGACGAACTTAGGCAAACCCTAACGAGCTTGTTGCTGAGCGATCTTGGCTCTCCTGTTTGGAGCTGTGGTAGCGAAACCGATGCCTGGTTTTCAATTTATTTGAACCAGCCACGGATCCAAAGGCAGATGGAGAGACGTGCGAGGCTGGAAAGATTTTTAGCGGAATGTGCTTCTAGTGATGACGAGAATGGGGTCCCCATGTCTCATAAACTCAGGAGAAGCAGATCTGCGGATGCTATTTTGCTTAGTGTTCACAAGCCAGCGGAACAGGATCTACGTACACCAACCCCTACTCAGTCATCCCCTCTCCAGGAAACACCTGATTCGTTCCATTTTGCGTATGACACTGCCTTTCGTCAGTTAATGGAGAGATTCTCGCGACAATCCAATCCCTATACCAAGCTCAAAGCACTGCAGGATTTAAGGTCACTGGTGATCTCATCGCTGAGCTCTAGGAATGATAGTCAAGCTAATGAAGAGCTCGGTGCTTTCGCCGAACCGCCATTTCCTCAATCAGATACCGGGCGATTCCAACGCAATAGCTTATCTGAAGGGTCGAAACTACCACAACCACAAACAGCTCACTACCAAAGTCCGAACCGAAACCAAACCGCATGTTCACCTTTATTGGGATCAGTAGCCTCATATTCCACTTTCCCACCATCTGAGACAGAGATAATCCTCGCGATGCGCGACTTGATCCAAACCATCCAACCAAAGACCGTATTCCGCGACCTCCAATTCATCTCGGCATTTATCCCCTCAGAAATCCTAAACAAGACCCATAGCGGAACCGCATTTCTCCAATTCGGCCTAGCTGCATTCGCCTTGAAAGACGACGTTTGCAACAGCATGGTTGAAATTGCAGATAACATCGTCTCGCACGAACTCAGCAAACGGCATCAGCGCCATAACACACTAAACAACCACAGCCATCAGCCCTCCACGGCCGCGGCCGCGGACCTCTGCCGGTTCAACGGCCTCGAGGATGCCAAATGGATGTGGATACACACGGCGCGGGAAGGAAACCCTGTCGCCCAACGCGAACTCGCCATTTTATACCTGACGCACCCAGAGATTCTGCCGCGGGTGACGCTGCCGCTGACCATGCCGCGCAACACCTTCAAGGCAGAGATGATGTATAGGCGCGATGGTGATTCGAAGTCGGATCCGCAGAGTATGTGTTTGGCGCTGCACTGGATGCAGCTGTCGGCGGCTGGGGGAGATGAGTTGGCGAGGAACCGGCTGAGGGAGCGGGAGGAGTTTGATTTGATTGCATGAGCGTGTCGACAAGGCAAACCAACTGGATTGTTGTATGCATGGTTTTTCATTTGTTTTCTTTTTCATTTCATTTCTTTTTTTTTTTTTTTTTTTTTTTTTTTTTTTTGGTGGGGTCTTCCTGGGTGCGTGGATTTGAGACTTCCGTCTGTTCTATACCAGTTTGCCATTTCTTGTTACCTATTTTTTTGGTTGGCTTTTCGTTTTCCAACGTTTTCCCACGGGATTTCCTTCATTCATCATGGATTTTTCCTGGCGTGTTTTACTTCCC